ATTTAATGGTGTCAAATGTGAATTTTTGATACATACATTTGTGTAAGTAAGAGTGAAACAGGCTAATTGGCATATTTTCATCTCAGACATATTTTTCATTAGTAATTTTAACCTTAGAATTTTCCTGAAATTAACATTTTCTATTAAGGAATTGAGTACCATAAAAATTAGTGATTTACTTAAGAAAATGAAGATGGAAAAAGGATCAAAGATTAGCATTCTACTGCCTTGTCATGTTTATCTAATAGCCCAAATGTAATTTTGCCCAGATGGCAACTGAAAACATTTCAGTCCTTGTCAAATACCTTCTTATCAACAGCAGAGGTTGTTTCCCTGGTAGAGGTGGTATTGCTATTTCCCTGAAGATGAAGACAGACAATCATGAATGCCCATGATCTGCGTTGATAGTGAGCTCTTCCTGATAGTTCTCAAAGGGGTTGTATCCCAAGAACAGGAGTCCAGACACTGCTTATTAAGGGCTTCATGAGAGCTCAGCCTTTCTATGTGTCTGTGGGTGTGCGTAGATGATCTGCAGACTTCTCTTCCTACCTCCTCTGCATGTAACCTCATTTTAGGAGCTACCACACTTGCTGAGCACCACAAGACATGGTGTGTTCTGTCCTTTGGACTTTAGAAGAATGTTTCAGCAACTACTGTCCAGTCCATCCCAGAAACCAGATACTGTATCCATCTGAAAGGAGATTCAGCAAGCACTGTCATGGATGCTTCTTTCTAGGACTGAGATCCAGTGGTCCACACAGGGAGCTAAGGAAGGATGGGCACAAGTTCAAGCTCATGTTAGAGACTATGTCCCAAAAAAGAGGGAGGGAGAGAAGGAAAACAGATTCACACAGGAGGGTCTGGATTCACCTGTTTGGCAACCTACCCCTTTCAGACAAAAGACAGATTCTGGGAAAAGCATGTGAAAAATCTTCATCTCCAGTAGAAGCTATACTTTCATATTTTTAGTCATGACAGAGGAGTCCCCAGGTTGAGAAGACGGAGACAGTGATTCCTTGAAGGAGACAAATCCTATTTTTCTCTTTGCTTGCCATGTCGTTGCCCTTCCTGATGGTTTAAAAGTACTGCTCAGCTAAATATTTGGTAATGAACTAGGTTCTACATCTACCTGGTGATCACGAGTCATGCCTCCCCGAGATAACTCTCCCTCTGCCCTCAGATGGATGCTGAGCCACTGTCATTATGGCATTCAAAGTTGCTTCCCGTCTCTTTAAAGATGGTGGGTGCCAAACTTGAAACAAACTTTATAGAGTCCTTTGAGAGGAAAGGGCAAGAGGCTGGGTGCCCCTTCTCCCAGTTTGAAGCAAGAGGAAAAATTATAAATGAATACAACAGCAACACGTAAACACTTTCCTCGCACTATGTTGCACAGTTCAGCTTGTTAAAGGCAACTCCTCATTTTCCTCCTCTAAGGAACACATCATCAAGCTTCTCCATGCTAATACAAATTCTGCATGCTTACCATGTGTATAGCATTGAGTATGTTTGTCTATTGGATATTTGTCTGTACATCAGAATTGTTGTCATTCTTAGACTTATTTAAAAAACTTGTCCAAGTTCTTCTTTCTAGATATTGAAGCTTATGCATTCTCCCAGCCAGTGCATCCCTGATCCTTAGCATTTGCCCTCCCGAGCCCCGCCCCCTTGCCAGATTAGCATGACACTTACTAGTTCTTACAAATAGTTTTTGATGGTTGGGCTTGCAGAAGTGAAACCTTGGTTGAACTTAGTAATTGATGATTGAAAGGTTAACAGCTTGGTTTTAGAAACCTACATGATCTTGCTTAGCATTAGGATCTTTGTTGTTTTTAGATGATTTCCCTGTTAAAATATCCGTTTTTCTATTCCTTTTATTCCTTCCAGGATTCCCTCCAGCCTCTGTATTCCAGTTTTTAATAGAGAAATGGAATAAGATAGAATGTATGTAGGAGGGACCTCAGAGACAGAGGGCTGTAGTTTTGTTTTGTGAATTAATTTTCTGTGACATTTTTGTCTGTTTTGTGCGTTTTTTTTTTTTTTTTTTTTTCAAGACAGGGTTTCTCTGTGCAGCTTTGGAGCCTATCTTGGCACTCGCTTTGGAGACCAGGCTGACCTCGAACTCACAGAGATCCACCTGCCTCTGCCTCCCGAGTACTGGGATTAAAGGCATGCGCCACCAAAGCCTGGCCTGTTTTGTGTTTTTTAGAAGTATTCTTTGCACGTAAGTGACTGCTCCTCGAAAAATTTCAGCTTCTGAACAACCAGCAAGCTATAGGAAGGAAGCAGTCTCCATAACCAAATGAGTCGCTTTGGATAATATCAAAGTGTCACAACTTGTGTATCTGGGGGGCTGCTTGCATGCTGGTATTTCCCTGCCTTGCTTCCTGGAGTGGGCTTGTTGTTCAGGTCATATAGTTCAAGGCGATAGTAATACAGCCGCCCTTCCCCTTACCTGGTCATAAGCTTTATTTTAGTTAAATTCCAAGAGTTTGTCCTTCTCATAAATTGAACTTCTTGTTATCCTTATGTATATACAAGTCTTTTCTTCTACTTGAATAGGATTTTGTTAAGGCCAGTTATCAAGTTTAATACATTTCGGTGCCCCTAGTCCTCATCCCATACCTTTGACCCCTCTAGACTAGCCTTCATGCCATTTTGAAATAAGAAATCTGGCCTTTTGTCCTATGGAAGCTAAGGCAATTTTTTTTCTAGAAGGCAAACATTTGGATGTAAAACAATTACAATAAATTACCAGCAGATAATAGCTTTTAAAGAGTACTATGAAATGGCAAGCTTGTTAACATCTCATATGTATTTCCTTTCTATAGGTGATTTTCTTCCACCCCCACCTCCACCCTTAGATGACCCTGGTACCCTTCCACCTGGCTCTGGACACTTCCCTCCTCCTCCACCTCTGGATGAAGGCGCTTTCAAAGTACAGGTAAGAGCAGTATTGAAGTCTGGTTTATAAGATATGCTAGGATGCCTAAGAATTCAGCTATGCTTTCTGTGTTTGTGAGCATTTACTCAGAATATTTCCCCAGCATGCAACTTACAAAGAGTTAGCACACTTCAGTGTAAAATACCCGAGCCATGCTCAGAGTTAGACTGGCTTATACTCAGAAGCCATGGAAAAATTTTACCTACTAATTTCATTTTATAATTCAAGATTATATTTTAAAGAAGTGCTGTTTGAGAAGTCCACATTTTTTGGCATAAAGCCAAGCCTTAAATCTTTTCCCTCTTTCCTTAAGCTTTGTATTCTATATGAGTAAGAGTAATATTTAAGGCTCTGCTTGTTTGAAGTGGGCCCTCACTGGCAGCAACATTGTTTTCATGAAAGCAATAGTAAGACATCCTAGGGCCTTTTCTTCTAGATATCCAAATATGAAGGTTAGATGGGTATCAGTGACATATGGGCACTGTACCTCACAGAGTACAGAATCTAACTCCGGCTAGGTGCAGAAGCAGCAAGAAAAATAATTTTGCTCTGACCCAAGGTGGTCAGCACCTCCAGGTAAGGCTGAAGACATCATGCCAGGATAGAAAAATAATAAAATTACGAAAATTGCCATTCTCAGATAAGGTGACGTCATTGTAGATTTATTGAAGATAAAAATCAAGACCTTGTCTTAGAGAAACCCTGATTTTTCAGATGAGATGGAATGATGTCTGATGTTTACTTATGTACAATCAAACATCAGAACCTGTGAGTTACAACAAACAGACACACTGTGTTAATGCTGGTTACTGTGGCGTGCTTTATTCTGTTATTCAGTCTGCCTTTGTATGTGCTCGAGGTGTCCCACAAGGAATGTGATGGAAGAGAAGTTGTAAGGAAGAAATGGTTAGGGTCTGAGTTTAGGCTGGGAGTATAAAGCAGAAATTATTTCCCAAATAATCTTTGTTCCTATGTAGATATTATCTGAACAATGGGAAATCCTATGGCAGAAAAGACAGGCATAGTTTGCACTCTGTGGAACTTGCAGAGGGCATAATTTAAAAATTCTCTTGTGCTTTTTTTTCCTGGATTACTATTAAGTCTATTATGCTAAATTTGGAATATTTGTACTCCAAGGATTGGCTGAATATCTGCAGTTTGAAAAGTAGTTGAGAGTGTGTTCTGAATTAGTGACCGTGGGCAGATCACACCAAGTCCTAGTTGTCCTTTACAAAGAAGGTAGCTATACCGCCTTAAAAAGTTGACAACATTACTGTGTCTCAATGTTCTAATTGATATAGCTAGATGATATTTTGATATTTCCGCTGATATTGTATAATGCAAATAATAGCAATGATAATAATTATATTATCAAATACTAGGTGAAGCTGATGATGATAATAAAATTATGATAGATATGTGAACCTACTAATCACAGTAACAATAAAGTTTTGTCCATGAGTTCCATTTACAAATCACCCAACCCATGAACATAGGATGTTTACTCAAATTTCTCCTTGCTATACTTTTATCAGTAATGGAATAGTTTCATTGTGAACATCCTTCACATAATTAAAAATTGTATTAAAATTTATTGATGTTTCTGTAGCTACCATGAATGTACCTTTTTTATAAATTCTTTTTCAGAGTTGATGGCTAACATAAATATCCTATTTACCTTTATATGTTGATTATATATCATTGTAATTTTGCTGAATTTATGTATTAATTTAATAATATTTTCTAGAGTCTTGGGCTTGTCTGTGTGTGTTCACTTTGTCTGAAAACAGGGACAGTTCTTCTTCCTTTTCCAGTTTGGACTGCTTTTAATTCTTTGTCTTGTCTAATTGCCCTGGCTAGGACTGCCAGTACTGTGTCGAATAGAATCAGTGAAAGTGGCGTCCTTGTCCTGTTCATGGGGCTTTCATGAAAATTACAAAAAGTCTCTTTCTATGTGGACTTTGTTCTGATAAATGTACTCAAGCCATGGCTTTGTTTTTGAAGAGGAAGGAAATAAACAAGAAGTCTGTTGCCATGTTGGCTTATGTTCTCTGTAAAACAGAAGGGAGGATGATAAAAAATAAAGCAATGTTTGCCAAATGGAAAAGGACAAATCTGGTAGGGAGAGGGTGTTGTTTTTTGAAGCTGTTCATATGACATTCTTGGTAACTTAAAAATGATGTCCATGTCTTTGTCTTGGGAAGGAGAGCGTTGGCTGTGGTTGTTTCTGACCCTGTTCTGACCTGGTATCACCCCCTTTAGGTAGAGCTCAGTGCATCTGAGGCATTGTCATCACTAAGGATACTGAGTTTGCACTTTTTCCTCTCAACTCTGGTAAAGCCTCATCTTGCCAATTCCATCTCATAGCTGGTAGATGTGTGTTTTATGTAGAAGTCTGTTTATATTCCCAGCCAGATTTTCAGCTCCGAGCCAGAAGAGTTTCTACTAAGTATGGCTACTGGAAGATACTCAGGGCTGAAAGGGATTTCGGTGGTCATTGAATCCAAACCTGGGGCCAGATTTCTAGAATATAGCACTTTTAAGCACCCACTGAGGGGATTAATTCCCAACCCTCTTTGGAAATGGGGAGACTGAGATGCAAAGAGATGTCTGTTTATACCGTGGTTCTGACAGAACTCTCTCCCCACCATACCTCCCTCTCCACCACTGTTGGTTGTTTTTGTACTGTACTCAACTTGTCCTAGTCCTCTATTAAGCTGTAAGGTTTACTAAGCTGGAAGGTTCTCTGATGTGGAGTAGGCGGTTGCATGTTGTATCTGGTAAGAATAGGTATTGCTGGAGTTTAGCTTGGCTTACTGAAATTTTGATATATGCCATATAAACTTCCATAAAAAGGAAATACATATTTACTGCAAAGAAGTATTCTTGTTTTGGGAATTCACATATTTTCATGGGAAAGATAGATCTGAACACAATTGGGAGTTTTTTTTTTTTTTTTTTTTTGGCCAGAATCAGTTTAAAGTTTGTACTGGCTCCTTAACAGTCCCTGTATTAATTTGTTCCTTGATCATTTTAGATAAAATGAATACATTCAATAGGTAGGTAGATGCATTAAGCTAGACAGTACGTCTGCCTCAGAACTTGGCCTCCTCAGTCTGGCAGTCTGGATGTTCAAGCTTGGCACTTTGCTCTGAGTTGAGGTCACAGTCTGTAAATCTCTTTTCAGTCAGTCAGCCCATGAACAGGTACAATGTTTCTTGTCACTTGGTCAAGAGGACAGAATATATTTTTTAAGGTATTTTAAAATACATTTATTTTCCAGGAAATTAGACATCATACCCTTTACTTCTTTCTATTCTTTAATTGGTAGTGTTTTTTTTTTCTTTTTTAAATATATGTAAGAAAAAGGGCACATATATAGTGAGGCAGTGGTTATGGATAAGGAGATAGATTAGATGTAAGATACACACACACACACACACACACACACACACACACACACACGCCTGTACCATACACAGAGAGTACAAACAACATGCACATATTCCTGAGTTGCTTGGTAGCTTCACAAGCTCCCCAGGCACTCACCTGGCCCTCTGTGTGATACTTTGGTTTGATCTTTTCATGACCTCCAGGAAACCATCTTTGACTTGACCTAGGTTGTGGTCTGACTCTACAGCTTGCTTCTCCTTGCCTGGTGTGCAGCAGTTGCAAATCTTGTGTTGTCCTTTCTCTGTTTGTATTTACTCAGGCCAGGTGCTTACATTTGCTTGTGTCAACTCAATCTCTCTACTGCAAAATATATTTTTTATCTTAGACTGATTGGCTCAACTGTTAAAATTTTCATATTCAAATGTGATCTTTTCCTTTAACATTTATTTTTAGTGCCTTTCTTCCTGTACTCCTGGAAAAGGGACAATTAGGGCTTGATATCTGCAGGAGGAGAGAGAGGGGGGAGGGGGAAGGGGCAGTGTACAGCAAAGAGCTGGGCAGCAAAGCTGTGGAGAGAGGCTGGCATTTCTAAGGATAAAGTGAACTAGGCAGAGATTTAGCATTGAAAAGGAAGAAGAAGCCCCCCATGAGATTATACATCTTTAATCAAACTCACCTTTTTTGAAAAGAATTTAAAACCGATATATGTATGGTAGCTGATTTCTATTTGACCACTTTACACATTTTAGGATTAGTGACCCCCAGCAACAGCCATGGCCACCTTGCTCTGTGAGCCTACTGGCTGTAGTTTGGATGAATCTTATAACAGATGTGTCCTTACCTCTGCCCATCAGTATATCAAGGGAGGAGTACACTGATGCAGAAACAGATCCAGGCTGCTGAGCCCACGATGGTGGTAGTGGGGCATGTTGCAGAATCATAGAGAGGTTGACCAGCAGAAGCTCCAACCCATGCTAAGCCACATGACCTTTCCTTAGGGTGTTGTTAGAAAGACATTTGATCCATAAAACTATATGAGAAGGCCTAGGAAGCTCTTTCTCACTCTTTACTTTCTTCCTTTTAGGTCCATCTGCCCTAATTAATATGTAGATAGTGGTCCTGGCTGAAGAGGAGAAGTAAGGAGGTGCCTGGCTACTGATTTTCTCTTCCATGTGTGTGTAAGAGAAACAGGGTTAATGGCTGACTGCCATGGCTGGTCACCATAAAGAGAGAGGCAGGGAGGAGAGGAGAGAGAGAGAGGAGGGGAGAGAGAGAGAGAGAGAGAGAGAAAATGAATAGCCAGACTGATGGGTTCTTTGACATTTCTGAATTTGGTCAATATGATTTGCCAAAAGTGAATGCCAGACTTTTTACCTATTTGTTTTTTGTTCTGATTCAGCCTCTGGCTGGGCATGAGCAGGACAGACTTTGGAAATCTGTGCTTATAAACTCTTATAGACAGAGCTGATAGGAGCTACAGGAGTTATTCTACTAATTCCTTGAGAATATTCACTCTTTCATGAGGCATGTTCCCCATTCTCTTCTCCTCCTCCTCCTCACTGGTCTTCTTTTCAAAGTTCAGGAATCAAACCTAGGGCTTTATACTT